AAAAAATCAATATTTATAACGTTTTGCAACACAACTCTTGCTTGATTTATACGCTTGATAGAATTTTGATTTAAAAAAGAAAAAAAGAGATAACAAATGATAATTGCCGATCTACACTAAAATTGTCGATGTTTTAATATCGAATTCAAAATTGGAACGGAAATAATAAAATTGGAAATAAAATTCACTCTATCCGGGGGGAGGGGAAGAGGGGGGGGGGGCGATTAATTGGGTTGAATGACAGTGATGAGAGCGTGGCGTCGAACGCATCCATCCGATCGTTTCGAGATCGGGCGTCAATCGTTAATGGAGCAATTCGTTCACGCGGTTTTCACCTAATCCCACGATCATACTTCATTAGCGTCCACGCCTCGATCAAAGGTAACACTTATTGAAATGCCGATAATAAAAGCATCCCCCCCTCCTCTGCATCAGCTCGTCCACCACGTCGCTACGCGTAGGCTTGTGTACACCGTTGCGACGAGGATACGAGGAGAGAGTAGGCGAGTGTATCGATGTCGGTTTTCACATGAAACAGGCCGCCACCTCCGATACTGGTTTCCGTGCAATCGGCCGCTAAATCACCGGGTTCAACTATCTAGGCAGGTTTAAATTTTTCTCCGACATTGTTCCGCGATAAAATTTTACGCGATCGTACACTTAAACTTTCTATTCGAGCCCGTAAATCTCTTCTCCCTTCTCGTTAGATGTAACATTGATACATCGAATCAATTTGAAACGATGCAATACCTGTGAATTTTATATACATCTCTCCGATTTTCTACGTGATCTTGACTTGCACGACGCCTACGCTTGAAATGATCTTGCTTATTATAATCAATTCAGATTTAACGAGTATAATAATCATACACTCGATGAGAGATTCTGCGAGATAACACGTGGAAAAAGTGTACGTTTCCATCGTATTCCCCGATTTTCATATTTTCCTTTTTTCTTCGATATTCTATCCGCGCAAAGAGAGAATCAATTCTCCCGCGAAATCACTATTCCCCTTAATGCGCGGGATGGTCACCCGTAATCCGTACGCTTTCATCCCGCGCCTTAAGTCTCGAAAGAGAACCGATTTCCGTAACGATCGATCCCCGATAATAAGCGTTCCACGAGCGTTGCGCGAATCCTCGCCGCATTACCGCACATACTTGGCGTAATTGTATCGTCTAGCCGGCCCGATTCGTTATTGCTTTTCGATATATTCGCGACCGTATCCCCTCCCCACCCTTCACGGCATCCAATCCCTTTTCCGATCGTCTGGATCGTCTGCGATTGCAGAACGGTTGCTTCTGCACATTCACAGACGCATCGATCATTCCCTGTTAAACGTTTCGCGACGATTAACGCACTGAAGCGCGTCCACGTCTGTCGATCGCGAAACGGAGACCTCTGACTTCTCGAAACGGTATTGTGCCACGAGTCACCTGCTCTATATAAGCGCGCAGGTGCAAGGAGGCCGTGCTCCTCGCCTCGTTGTATCCCCGCGGGCGCAAGGCTGGAAACTCGGGCAGCCAAATGTTTCTGACGGGCATCCATTATTCATGCGCGGGCGTCGTATTTTCCCGGGAAAACAAATTCGTTCGTTCACGGGAAAAACTAACGCGCTTAACGAGCTACCGTTTTGGACCGTTTCCCTTTCAATATTCATACAACGATCACAAGCGTGGAAACTTCGACCACCGCTCTTCTCGATCGCGCCGTATCTCATCGCGTTCGATCGCAATAGTTTGTAGTTGAATAGAATACGGGATGTAAAAAAAAAAAAAAAAAAATGGAAGAATTTTGAAATACTTTTACGTTCACGAAATGCAAGATCGAAGACCTTTACCTTTTTTTTTTTTTATTATCAACGAACACGTCCAGAGAAAGATTTTTCTCTTTCCTCGCGTGGTCGAGTCGTTCATTATACTCGCTATTAGAGGAGGGTGGCTTTTTTTTTCTCGGATGGCGGACCTTCATCTCGAATTTTTCAAGGGAAACCGTAGAACGGAATCGTGTCACGGTGAAGACACCCCGCAGAGATCATCGAAGGCGTTATTGCACCGCGCTCTCGGATATATATACGTATATACATACATATATATTTCCACGGAATCTGTGGGGTGGACTGGACCTCGATCGGGGGATTGTATCGTATACGGGGGAAAATTAAAGGGGAGCCAGGCGGAAAAGTAGCGGGTAGGTTTCTTGCTTTCGGTGAAGGGCAAAGACCGCGGTTGCTCGCCAGCCCGGAAGTCTAAACTGTTATGAAACAGTTGGAGAGAAAGCTTTTTTATCTCCAACTGTCCTCCGTGCATTTCTTTCTGGAAGGTAATCGTTCTTCTTTTCTCCCCCCCCATCCCCTCCCCCAAATATAACCCCGCTTAACTCCGCCTCTTTCGGAGCCGTGTACAGCTCTCGTAGCACGAGAGTTCGGCTAAGCGCGGCTTTACGCTTAGGAGACACGCGGAATATTCCACCGCTCTTGAACAATGATAAACGTATCGTTCGCGACGTTTCTCGCAACGCCGGACACCTTTCCACCTTTAATCTCTCGTGAAAATTGAACGTCGACTCGTACGTGACACCCGATCTTTCTCCCTCTAACGCCAAAGGTTTTATCTTATGCGCGGTTTCGATCGAAAATTGGCTTTCGAGGAAAATATTTTTTCACTGGAAACAATTTACCCTAGTCTCGACGGGCTAAATATCGACGGGAGGAGGAAGGAAGGGGACGTGTGTGCAAATTACTTTGGCGAAAATGCGGCCACTTTCCTGACCGTTTTCCAGAAAGACATTTTCCACGAACGCGTATCTCTCGTCCAACGTATCACTTTTCATACCGGGCCGAGGACGGTCTGTTATTACGCGGAACAAGCAGTAGTCGTAGCGTCGGGGCTATAAAAGAATGAAATGACGTTATACCGTAGCGGTTCGATATTAAACGTCACTCCCCGTCCCGATATAGGAAATCGGAACTCGCGGGAGAGTTGCGAGTCGCGTTTCTTCTCCGCGTGAATAGAACAGGCGGGTTATAAGCGTTTTTCAAATCTAAAATAGAAAACGAGGAATTTAAAAAGTTTGTGAAATGGTTAGCTATTTGTAGTGTTGTTCCGTCAATAGGAAAGGCTATAAATATAATTTCTCTGATATTTATATATATATATCTCTCTCTTTATACTCGATTCTCGAACATTTTCAATAATTACTTCCCTTTATTTCCTATTAATCCTCCTATTAATTATTCTTCCTTCGTGTCCTCGACGAAAATCGCGTTGATAATAAAAAATAAAGCAACGTTTAACAAAATCGATATCGACGAACGGTATAGAAAACGTTCAAGACTGCGTCGAAATTAATTCGCGAGAGGGATTAAAGCGAGGGGAAAATAAAAAGAAAAAGGTAATACTTCCCCCTTCCATCAACTCCAATTTCTCCCTATAACTGTGCCCATCGATCGACGCAGGAGGAAACGATCGCAATTATCAAGCGACAAGGACACGCGGTGGTTTTTCGGCCTTCCAATTTTTTATCGCGAGTTGTTTTATCCGAAATTGCAGGTGGCCGCGCGTGCAGGAGGGGCACAGCTTGTGGGCCCGCGTAATAGAGACGCTCGCGGCGATGCTATCCGCGTGCCTCGTTAATTCGGTACTTGATGCTGGCGGTAGCCAGAGAGGAGCGCGCATGTTCATTCATTCATTCCAATGGATCCCCCTCGGAGTCGAGGATAAAAAATCGCCGCGGATAATCCGGACCCGAGAACGTTTATGCGCTGCACGAGCCGCGGATATCATCGTCGAACGACGCGGAATATGGGTCAGTTTTGAAAAGCTTCCCTCCCATCGACGCCTCGTTCGATTTTTTCTTTTTTTTTTCCTCCCCCTTTCCTCCTTCGTCTCCCTTTTTACTCGCTCTCGCTCTCGCTCCGTGACCATAGCCACGTCGTTTGTCCGTCGTTGTAGGGATGCGTTTTTTTTTTCGCATCGAAGAAAAATAGAACTCCGGGTAACCAAACCCTCTTAACCGTGCCGTTTCGATTTTTCATTCTCTCTTTTGTCCCCCCTCACTGTGTCCCGTTTGATCGAGGCAACAAAGAGAGGGCGCACAATATGAATTTCTATCGCGTGCCGCGTTCACGTTTGTCGTGGAAATCCACGCCATATTCCTTTTCTTCTTATATTATTCCTTTGTTGTTCAAGGTGAGGAAATCGAACGGATATCGAGAGAGAGAGAGAGAGAGAGAAAAGAAAGAAAATGGGTAAAATTAGCGAAGAGGGAATTTTATTTTTAGTTGGTAATATTGCTGGGGGAAATAAATGCTGCGTCGCACATCCACTCTTCACTCTCCAATCCCAGTGAAAACGGAAGATATATTTATCGTCTCCGGCGTCATATCCGACATTAAGCGCGATTTAAACCACCATCAATCGCAACCGCACTTCGATCGAATAGATTCACGTGGCATTTACGAGATACACGGGGATATCGTCATCGCGTCGTGGATCACCACGCCCATCCCCGTCCAATTATCGCGAACGGCTTCGTATTATCGTTAAGACGACGAAAGAGAGACAGAGAAAGAGAGTTTATGGGCAGACATTTGCATAAATCTCGAACCAATGTGCGTTCCACGCGGCTCGACGTTCAAAACTATTGAAAAAATCGCGAGAAAAACACGAGTCTCCATTATTATCAGTGATGAGGATTTAAACTGATCGATGATTTATTCGAAACTAATCTTTCCCGCCCGAAGCGCGCGAGTAATTAACGATCGATGGCCACGATAGATTTAAGATTTATCTTCGTACGCTCAACTCTTGCGAATCTTCTTTCCAGCATGGGTTGAAAATTTTGTGCCACGGTTCGAATCCAAAGTCTCGCGCACCCGTTCGTCTCGAGTCGAAGCCGATAACGGTATCGATACGTAAATATTCGATAAGAGCCGCGACGGGCATCTTGTAATTGCCGATTCGTAATTCCCAATCTAACTGGCTAACGTTGCTCACGGGGGCCTTCGAATATTGGCCTCTCGCGAGCCGAGTCGTGATCTAGACGGTGATCCAATTACTTTCCAAACAGTGGAAACGTGCCGCGCCTAGGTTCGCTCGATCGTCTTTGAGAAACACGACCGGCCACCACCCGCCCGCCCAAGATCGTATAACGGATCCTATCCCCTTCAGCAGGGATTCACCGTCGCGGATAACGAAATTCCCCTTGAATCGTGGTAGAAACTTTAATTCGCAGATTTTATCCGATACCCTGTCGGCTGACTCGTTGAAACTGTAGGAGATTCTTTTTTTTTCTTTCTTTCTTTCGCTCCTCCTTTTTATTCCTCTTCCTTTTTCGCGTTCGCCCGTGTCCCCGTTCAAAGCTTCTTCTCGCCCGCTTCCAAGATTCTTCCATAGTTTAATTCGAACCGGTCCCACCTCCCGTTGATCCCCTTTGACGATTGCCTTTATTAAAAATCGCGAGGCCTCGTGTCGAAGCATCGTGTTTTCGATGCCGATTTTTCGATCGACTGGGGCGAACGAACGCGTTTACCTTGTCAGGGAGGAGAAAGTGTTTTCGAGCACCCAGTACGTGGCCAGGCGAGAAATAAAGATAGCGCGTGGGTCGGTTTTTAGGTTCATTCGCTCGAACTCTTCTTCTGTTCGAGAAGCGTTATCTTAACGGATACTCGTATTCGAGTGTGAATATCTGTCCCTCTCCCCTCCGGCCGGTGAGATTTAAACTTGTTCCCAGCCGTTCCCCTATCGGGCAACATTCGTCGAGTTTCTTCAGGTAAGTACGATAAATAATACCCCTTGAAAACAACGCGTTTTCGATGCTGATCTCACCGTGCACCAACGTGTGACGAAATAAAGTATCCAACGTTTTGCTTGGCACGACGCGCCAAAAGAATGAAGAAAGAGAGAAAAAAATGTGAACAAAGAGAGAAAGAGAATGGGGCAAAGAGCCTTAGATGTTAGATAACCGATCGAAGGCGTTTTTTTTTTTTGTAAACGGTTTTATCGAACCGTTTTGCCTAATAAAAATATCACGGCGTTCTTTGCATTTCGCGTGCAAAACCCAAGGGGTTTAATTATTTTTCTACCAGACGTGCCGCGTGACAAAGTGAACCGGCTCACGACCGTGCAATTAGGATCGTCGATAGCGCGGTTTTTAATTTATCAGGGAACGATGAGGCCGATCCGTGTTCGCCTAGCTCGTTTCCGGGCGTCGTTCTTTTCTTCAAAATTCGTGTCGATGTCTGGTGAGATAGAGAGGCACGTTCTCGGCCACCGTCGTCCCGCTCGTTTTCCTCGGTCGAGAAAGGATCGAGCCCCGATTAAATTTGACTCGGTCGCTCGGTGATGATCCCGATCCCCCTTTTGTCCTCTCCCCTCGAAAATATCACGACCATTCAACTTAATATCCCGATAGAATTTCCGGAGCCGTTGCACACAGCGTGGGCGAATTTATCGCAACTTTGTCGTCGTACGCGTGTAAACAACAAGACAGTTCATACACTCTTCGAAATTTTTTGATTCGAAATGTATAATATAAGGGCACGAGTTACACCACGATTTTTCGAAACTTTTCGAAAACGAACTCGTCGAACTTCGCGGATCGAACACACACGCGAGACACGCAATCGCGCGCAAAACTCTGCTTCGGAATTTACGAACGAAAGTTTCGCCCCGAACGTGTTTCAGAAATCGAAAAGTCCGAAATATAAACCGCATATAGGTACAGTTTGTGCGTGTATAGAGAGAGGCTCTGCTCTCCGGACAACCGCAAGAAAGAGTTTTCGATCGATGCAACACCACGATTGAACACGATTGCACGTAAGAGACGTAGTTACAAACACCTGAAAGTTAAACAGCTCGAGTGGTCATCGCCACGGTGAAACGATCATTCCTCTTCGATCCACCGATGAATAATCAAATCGCCTTCTCTTGTTTACGTTTCTCGACTGTTCCGTCCTCCGTCGAGACTCGAAAACCTGTTCCAAGACGAAGTACAGACGGGAGTACGGGCGGAATTACGCCGTGGCGAATTTCCTCGTTTACGACTTCATAATGGCAACTCAAACAGAGTCGAATGACATCAGTTTGGACGCAGAGTCGTGTTTATCCGTTCCCCGTATCCGTCCCTATTTCACAGCCCCCACCCCATCCCACTCGCCTCTTTTCCACGGTGGTCTCGAATGAAATACCGCGACACGTTTGTGCGTCCAAAGGATCTCGAGGTATTTTCAATATCCGGCCACGGCCCCTGCGTTTCCGCTTTTGCACCCTCGGCCGCGTACACCCATTCCCTTTTTCCGTCTTCGCCGACCAAGGGTGGTCCCGTCGGCGATGCGAATCCAGATACTGTCACAATGTTCCATAGAAACGAGTTTCGTTGATGTATGGACTTTACGGTGTGATCTGTACAGAACGAAAACGTGGCGCTTGATTAACTTAACCGAGATAAATACAAGTTTTCTTTTCCAATACGAAGTTGAAAGGAGAAAGGGATATTCATCCTTAATTTTCACAATGCGCTTGTATCAAACGGAGTGCGATAATTTAACCGAGAACGTAAATTCCGCGTGATCAACACCATCGATATTACCCATACGGAACAAAAACTCGAGACAATGGTAGACCAACGTAGAAACACGTTTACCTACTCGTTGATAATTTCTCTCCCCTCTTCTGGCAAGCATCTCCAGCAGCGCCAACGGGGATTGAATTGAATTTCCAATCGACGCACGATCTTTCTTTCCCTTTCGCTCGGATATCTCTCTTCCCACCCTGTTCGTCGGACGATAAATCCCTGGCTGCGCGTGCGCCACCGAAATCGCAGAATTTCGCGGTGAGGAGCTTATCCCGCGCAAAAGCTGAAATCGTCGATACTTAGAAACGGAATGCACAAAGGGAGAGAGGCTGTCTGCGCTGGTTTTAACTGCGTACGTACCGATATCGACATTATCGCGCGGCTCATTAGCGAATTGGCCAATCTCACAAAGAGAGACGGGCGGGCGGATTATCTAATTCAATGTCGTCCAGGCCGCTTAGCCCGCTTCTGTCTACTTGCCGTGAATCGAATCACGAGAGGAGGGCGCGGAGGGTGGTCGGCCCTGGATAGGGATAGGAAAGGCGACGAGTTAAATCGGCTGTTACGCGGCCGGTATTACGACATCGTCAAATCCATCAAACGGTGGATCAAAGCCGCCATTAAGCCGCCGAGAGAGAGAGAGTCTTTGGAAGGGAGAATCGTCGAATGAAAGCCCCAGGCACCGACAAAAGCCGCGTTGTCCGAAAAAGCTTCGATTCGTCGCTCATTTGCGCTTTTTCTTTTTCGTCTCCCTCCTCTCTCTCTTTGACTCGTTTCAATCCGACACTCGAAGCAACACGCGCCACGACGATCCGTGCTGCGGGACTAATCGGAGAATTGGCCAACTATTGCGTAAAGAGGTCGGGTATATGGGCGTCGGGTAACGAGGAGCCTCGTTTATAACGAGCTAATTAAAAGGCCGCGCTAATTGTCCGAACTCGCGCATTGATCACCGGCGGTGACTATAATCCGGTTTCAAGGATTATCGCGGATCCTCTACCCTTCGTTTTTCCTTTAAATCCACCCTTTTTAATTCTCCTTTATGAAAATTTCCACCGAGGATTAATCTTGTTGAAAATTTACGAAGCCTCTCTTTGCTTCTCTAATTCTGATTTCGTATACGACGGTATACAATTTTCCAATACCGAAGAGAATGTATAGAGATTATCGAAGCTTCGAATAAATTTACGGA